TTGTCCCAGCAGCGAGAAAAAAGTAACCAAGACAGCTTGTGACACCCTCTGGCCCCCAAGGCCTCAGAACATTTCCTCCTGCCTGGAATGTGGGCACTGGGGCTGAACAGCCATCTTGGATGAGGGGCCAGAAGCCACATGAGCTGGCATGCTGGCACATGTCTGTAATGTCAGCTACTCAGGAGGCTGAGGCAGGAGGACTGCAAGTTTGAGGCCAGTCTGGGCAATGTGAGGAGCCCTTGTCTCTACAAAGTATTTTGAAGGGACTGGAGCTGTATGTAGCTCAGTGCTAGGGGCTTGGGTGGCATGAGGGCCTGTGTTCAATCCCAGTAGTGCAAAGGGAAAAAGTGCGTATGTTAAGGGTATAGTAGGATAAGACGGAAGGCTGGGTCCTTGATGACAGTTTATGCTATTGTTTATTTATTTACTTTCTGTACTGGGGATTGAACTCAGGAGCACTTGACCAATAGGCCCTTTTTATTTGGACATAGGATCACATTAAATTGCCCAGGTTAGCCTCAAATTCGTAATTCTCCTGCCTCAGCCTCCTAAGTAGCTGAGATTATAGGTGTATGCCACCACATTTGATGGATTCTTCTTTTTGTGGTGCTAGGAGTCAAACCCAGGGACACATGCTAGGCAAATGCTCTACCACCGAGCTATATCCCTGGCCCTACTTCAGGTCTTCTGTCACTGCCAGCTCTACCCAATCCTGAGTACCAGGCCCACCCTGGTCTCCAATCTGACTCCACAGAATGTGTGCCAGGTCTCTTCTTTGGGGCTGTAGCTCAGCTTTGCCTTCTGTACCTCTAACAGCTGCTGAGGCCGCACTAGCCGTGCTCCTCAGCTGCTCTGCAGGACGTCCCTGGTGGTCACAGCGTCTCCTTGTGACACAGGAAGAGAGGCCACCCACCAACAGGAAGCGAGTAGTGTCTGACAGGCCTGGCAAAGGCCCCGGGGCAGCAGTGAGACCCAACACCAGCCCTGCCCTTGCGGCCAGGGAACAGGCAGCCAAGGCCAGAGAGAAAAGGCCCAGCAAACAGCTCTCCTGCACACGGCCCCACAGACAGCTCTCCTCGCCTCCCAGAAGGGCCCCCTGACCGCCCTGCCGCACAGAACGCCGCCTCCGCCATCGCTCTCCCTCAGCCCTGGTGTTTCATCCTGCTCCCCACGACCTGGCAGGTTGCCCCACATCCCTGTGGCATGGTGAACCCCGCGGGCAGGGCTGTGGGGTCCGGTTCCGGCTGACAGCACAGTGCCTAGTACTTTGGTATGAAGCTGCTCAAGAGCAGGGCAGAGGGAAGAGAGCGACAGATGGGTGGTACATCCGATGCCACAATGCGGACGAGGGACGTGGGCTGGAGGGACTGAGGGGTGGCATTTCCATGCGGTGGTGTGGGGAGGTGAGGGGTCAGTGGTGGGAACAAGAATAAAGCAACACCTGAGGTGTGGTTAGAGACAGTGTCAGCTAGCTCGATGCGGTGGCGCGCATGTGTAATACCAGCACTTCGGGAGGTGGAGGCAGAAGGGTCACAATTTTGACTCCAGCCTGGACAATTTAGGGACTTAGGAAAGATCTTGACTCAAAAATTTAAAAAAAAAAAAAAAAATGGCCTGAGAATGTAACTCACTGCACAGGCCCTCGGTTCAATTCCCAGTACTGATAATTTTTTTTTTTGGTACTGGGAATCGAATTTAGGACCTTGCCATTGCTAGGCAGGCGCTTGTGCCACTGAGTTACATCCCCAGCCCCCAGTACTGCCAAAAAAAAAAAAAAAAAAAAAGAGGCAAAGCAGCTCCACTGTGAGATCCTGAATACCCTTATCAGATAACAGGCTGGTGGGGTCTTGCTATGTAAGCAGCCCAATCTGGCCTCAAACTCAAGACCTCCCTGCCTCAGCCTCCTAGATGCTGGGATTACAGGGCCCAAATCTGGTTAAGGCAAAACTATTCTGCAGGAGCTCTAACCATCCAGAGAAAGTCAGGGCTGGAGAAAGACTGCAGAGTTGTGGGCACGGGTAACCGGAGGCATGGAGGGAGGCCTTTGAGGGAGTGGTAGAAAGAGAGAAGCAGAGCGAGAGAGAAAGCATAGCTATTCCGAAATGCTCATTTACATAAGAGAGGCCAGGGCGCCAGGAGCCGGAGGGGCCAGCTGGGTGGGGAAAGAAAAACAGGCAGGGGAGAGGGATGATGGCCTTGCAAGAGGCAGAGGAAGAGGAAACCAAAGGTCCTGGGCTCCGCTGTGAGGCCGCTTCAGTTCTAAGCCCCTAGCTCTGCTGCTTCCTGACCTATCGTCTCTGGGACTCCCGGGCCTCAACTGTGAAATAAAGACATTCAAGCGTCTGCCTCAAAGGTGCTGGAAGGCCTTCAGAGATGATGTACTAAAGCAAGCCAACTGGGATAAAGTGCTCAACAAACCATTATTTTAGTCTGCCACACTGGTGCACACCTGTACACCCCGGACTTGGAAGGCTGAAACAGGAGGATCTCTTGAGCCCAGGAGTTCAAGACCAGAGTGGGTGTATACAGAGACCTTCATCTCTTAAAAAACCAAAAGAGAGCCTTATCTTTAAAAAGTGAATGAACAAACGAAGAAGAATGGGCAAGGCATAATTTGTAAGGGTGTGAAATTTAAGGAAGGTCAGAGATGGCGGAGTCTGAATTTTCAGAGAGAAAGCACCACTAACATACTCTCAGAGGCGCAGCAAACCTCGGCTTCCAACTTTACTACTTGGGCTCACTGCCTTGCCTCTGGCCTCGCCACCTCGGGGGAGCCCTTCTTGCACCCCTAAGTCTGGGGTGCCCCCTCCTAACCACGCTCAGACCGTCCTGGAACTTGTTTCTGCCTGTGTATCGTTTTCACCTGTGGGTCCTGGCAGGGCGGAGGCCGAGCTCAGAGCAGGCGCTTCATCAATGAACAAACGAGAGAAAACCAAGTCCTTCGGGACCTGAGGGCGGCGGCGGCGATCTCACCGTGGGGAGACCTCACTAAGGAGCTAGAGGCGTGGCCCGCGCGAGCCGAGCCGCCGTGTTGCGGAGCCTCGGGCAGACGGACGGCAGGGCTGGGGCGAGGGGAAGATCGGAGCGCAGCAAGGGGAAAAGCACCGGAGGAGCGGGCCGGGGGTCAAGGGGAGGGGAAGGCGCCCCGGGCGAGGACCCGAGGGCAGGACGGGGGCGGGGGTTCTCAGCACAGCTCAGCCGGGCAGGAGCCGCGGGGCGGGGCGCGTACTCACCGGGGATCGGAAGGGCCCGCGGCAGCTCCGGCTCGGTCCGCGCTCGGCCCTGGGGAGGAGGAGGAAGGGAAAGGCTGTGGCGCGCGGGGAGCCCGAAGGAAAGGGTGTGGAGAAGGGGACCCCGGACGCGATTCCCGCAACTCGCAAGCGTGCGGCGGAGGTGTGAGAGCTCAGGAAAGAGACTGAACTGATGCACCTCTCCCCGCTGCTCGCTCCTTGCGCACCTCCTGAGCCCTGGGGTCCGAGGCCCCCGGGCTGAGGGACTCTGCCGCGTAGGAGGGTCCAGAGCGGCCGGGTAACCAAAAGTCACTGACTAAAGCTGGAAGCCATTCCACGGCCGAGCCAAGGAAGACCCCACCCCCAGAATGGCCAGAATCAGCAGCTGCGCGCGCAGCTTTCAACGTGACCCCGCCCACCCCACGCGCTGGCTCGGTTAGACCACGCCCCCACGTGGCGTCATCTCTCTCATCGACCAATGGGCCAGGAAGATTAAGGTCACGCCCACGCCGACGTGGGTTGAGTTTAGTACCGCCCAGGTTACGCCTGTTGTGGCCGGGCAGCGTCCTGACGCGGTAGCTCTCGGAAGAAATTGCGCGGTGGCTGATGGGATTGTGGTGATGTGGCCCCACCCCTTCCCCCCTCCCTGCCCCGGGATGTCGGAAGAAACCAGGCAGAAGAAATTGGCTGCGGCCAAGAAAAAGGTAAAACGCGCCAGGTCGCGAGCCCTCTACCCAGCCCGCGTCTCCTCGGCGGCCGGACCGTGGGCAGAGCATGTGCCACTCCTGGGGCACACGGGGTGAGCCCCCGGGCACCCCTAGTTCCCCCACTAAAGTCCTCTCAGCCAGCCCCGCCTCCTCAGCTGCCCAGCCCCCGCCCTCTCCAGGCCCCCGGGTGACTTTGGCGGTGACTCCTTGGGCTCCCCACTCAGGGCTCGGTCCCTCACCTGCTGCCGCCCCAAACCGGACCTTCCCGGCCCCCATATCCGAGGATCTCCGTCCCTCTCCCCTCTGGAGTGGAGGGGAGGGCCGGGCACGGACCTGCCCCGGGGGCTGGCGAGGGAGTAGAATGCAGTTACGTCACAGCCCCCCCAACTGTCATTACTACAGCCAGCCCGGCTTTTGATCTTCCCACCCGGTCCCCTAAGTGTCCCAACTCCCTTTCCGGTTTTTCTGGTCGAGGCGCAGATGTCCACCTAGAAGGGGACCCAGGACCACGGGGAGGAGTGCAGAGAGCTTTTAGGTTCCCTGACTCCTTTTAACTTAGACCCCGAGTACGCACAAACTTCACCAGCGAGCTCGAGTTGACAGTATCTATGCTTGACCGTAGGAGAGCAGATTTATGTTGGTTTTCTTTCAGGCTTCAACTCTCCAGAGAGACTTGAAATTTTTTTCTAAATTCCCTGCTTTATATTCTAATTCCCTTTGACTCTGGGACCAGAATGGCCTTTATTCAAGTTCGTTGGAGAGAGATCTGCTTGTCTAATGGGGAACAGATCCTGGAAAACTGAACTTCACAGCGTCATCATCTCTACCTGGAGTGCTTAGTGTCACAAGATAAATACAAGGCCTTTTTTCCCCCTTTTTGAGGCAGGGTTTCACTATGCCGTTCGGGCTGGCCTTGAACTCACTTTGTAGCCCAAGCTGGCCTCTTGAACTCAGCGATCCTCCTGCCTCAGCCTCCCAGCTGCTGGGATTACAGGCATGCCTGCCCCTACAGAGCCTTGTTTGTTTGTTTGTTTGTTTGGAGGAAGGGGTGTCTCACTATGTACTTCAACTTGGCCTTGAATTTGCTATGTATCCGAGGTTGGCCTTAAACTCATGGTAGTCTCAGCCTTCCAAGTGCTGGGTTTACAGGTGCAGTCACCATGCCTGACTGAGGTCAACACCCCCCCACGCCCACCTCCCCCATCTTGCTCTGTACCCCAGACAGGCTTTGTTTGTTTGTTTTTTGTCTTTTTGAGACAGGGTCTTGCTATGCAGATCAGGCTGGCCTTGAACTCACTTTGTAGCCGAGGCTGGACTCGAACTCGCAACAGTCCTCCTGCCTCAGCCTCCCAAGTACTGGGATTACAGGTGTACACCACCACGCCCAGCCCCCCAGGCAGGCTTTGATCTCAGGATCCTCCTGCCTCAGCCTCCAGAGTGCTGGGATTACAGGCCATACTCAGCCATAGATTTGTAAAGTAGGATAGATTTCTTTCTGAAGTGATTGCTTGAGTTAGGCTGTTAGTTCCCGGGTTTTCTAGGGCTGTGTCTTGACTATTTCTGGCCTTAGGGCACACTGATGGAAGTTTGAGAAATCTTGGTGTGTAGTGCAACAGATGTGTAAAGAAAGTACCCGGATGTCTGCTTTCTAAACCATCAAACATAACAGCTCCTGCCTATTTAATGTTTACTTTGCCACCTCTACCTCTGGCTTTGCCCCGTGGGAGTGGCTGATTCATGGCAAACCCCAGAGCTGGGAGTTAGAAGATTGATTTTAAATCCGTTATTGCCTTTCCTGTGTGCTGGGTGTGGTGCTGGGGACTGAGCCCAGGGTTTTGAGCATGGTGGGCAAGTGCCCTACCACTGAGCACCCAGACCCAATTATTGCTTTTTTTTTTCAGTACTAGTGATTAAGTCCAGGGAGTGCTACACTATCCCCCCAGTAGCTGGGATTGTAGGTGTGCACCAGTGTTCCAGCTTGTCTTTCTTTTGGTGGTCTTTTGAGACAGGGTCTTACTGTTTACACTGGCCTTGAACTCATTATGTATCCTAGGGTGGCATTGGAATGTGTGTGGATCCTTCTGCTTCAGCCTCCCAAGTGCTGGGATTACAGGCATGTGGCACCATGCCTGGACTTTGTTTTTGAGACAGGGTCTCTCGCACCCTTAGTGCTGGGATTATGCGCTATCATGCTGGACTTATAACAGTGCTAAAAGCTGCAGGAAGATGTGAGCACAGAGGCTTATTTTCATGAGTATCCTTGCTTTCCGCAGTTGAGAGAATTTCAGCAGAAGAACAGCCCTGGTGGTCCTGCAGTAGTGAAGAAGAAGAAAAAGCTGAAGAATGACAGTGACCTTGAGACAAGCACTGCTGGTGATGACCACCCTCCTGAGGACGTGAGTCTTGGCTGGCCAGGCTGCTGGGGGTAGGGGCTTCCATGGTAACAGAGGGTCATGGTTCAGATGAGAAAGTGCTGGGTCCTGGTTAGAATTCTCGTTTGAGGGCTAGGGGTGTTGTAGCTCAGTGGTAGGGTATTTGTCTAGTATGTATGAAGCCCTGGGTTTGGTCCCCAGTGGTGGTGGGGAAAAGAAACATATGTATATATATTATACCTGCCCCATGGAGAGATTGTTTTATCTGTACTTGTGAAGTTTAAGCAGGATGTTGTTGCTTTTATGTCAGTTCCCTAGGGCCCAGCGCACTGTAAACCTTCAGTAAGTGGTAGTTACTATTTGATTTTCGTCAACCTCAAGGGAAGCCAGGCCAGGGAGGACAACCATTTGCCATCAGACTGTCTGAAAGAGCCCCAGGGTGTGGTGAGGGGACCCCCAGGCAGCAGACGTAGAAGATCTGAGTTGAGTCCACTTTGCCATTAGCGTGCTGGGGACATCACAAAAATCACCTTCTCCCCTGGCCCTCAGGGTCTTTGGAAGTTAATTTTAAGCTGTAGCCCGTGTGTTCAAGTGATCCCTTACTTGGGAGTTCGGTTTTGAAAACGGAGAAGAGGATCTGGAGACCATCCAGATTCCTCCCATCCTGAGTCTGAGGAGAGGGTCTCATGTACATAGAAGGGCTGCGTTGTTCCGGCGATGTGACTCCATCGCTTGGGACAACGTTCCCACCTACTTGTGTACCCTGACTGGAAGTGACTGGAAGGTGGCACAGGTCCTGGTACTGATCTCCTCTGCTCTTCTTCAGCATTCCATTTCCCTGAGCCCACTTCTTCCTTCCAGACTTCCTTGCCTCTCTAAGCCACTTTTCTCTTTCTCCCCCTGCCCTTGTTTTTCCCTTCTCGGCTCCTGTAGATTCAGGACATTCTGAAGGTGCTGGTGTCCGACCTTAACCGTTCCAATGGGGTAGCGCTCCCCTCATTGGACAGATGGCAGGTGAGGCAGTGCCCAGACCCCTCTCTGGCTTGCTCTCTCCCAGCTGTGCATGCCCCTGAGGCTTCTCTGGCTTGGGGATCCTCTGCTGCTGGCTTATTTTATGTTGCTGCTATTAACCCTCAGCCTGCCTGTGTCCGCTTCTTCACCTGCTTGGTTGACTGGGTGTTTTTTTTCTACTCCCCACATCTTTTGTCCTCTTGGAAGAGGTGACACATACCTTAAAGGTAAAGCCGATTTGGGAAAACTTTTAGAGCAGGTGTGTGGGGTTCTGGCTTTTGAATGCCTCCTGTGAGGCATTTCACATTAGAGAAGTGAAAAAAACACCTTTGGGCCACACCCCCTGGGCTTCTATCTCTCAAAGGCCAGTAAACCATAGAAGTTAGTGATTTCTGGAAATTAATTTATCTTGGCTTGAAATTGAGAAAGGAAAGCTAAGAGAAAAAGCGTTTGCATTAGAGTCGCAAGGATTCAGTGTAATTTTTTTCAGAGGAACTGACTGCAGGTGAGGTTAACCGGACAGTTGAGTGACCAGAATTCTCTGCCCCTAATCTGTTTTACAAATCAGAGCTGCTTGTTCATATTCTCTGGGTCCTGGGTCCTAGGTAGCAAGGTACTTGGCTAAATAGTGGCTAACATAGATGAGCAAGATAAGGTGCCCGCGGGGCAGACTGAGACCTCTGGAAACAGCAAGGGACAAGGTGGCAGTCTGCAAATGCTCAGTGGACTCCGAGTTGGCGGAGGTGGCATTTGAGGTTGCTTTGAAGATTAAAGGTGGGTCACACTCATCCCTGTGGAGAGAGTGGGCAGCAGGTCGGCGGGGAAGCTGAGCTCGTGGCGAGTATCATGAGCTCACGGACCTCTTTCTGGGGATGCAGGGCCTGGGTCTAGGTGGTGAGGAAGTGGCTTCTTCCAGATGTGACACTGGCACATCCTCCTTAGCTAATTTTCCCCAGGGTATGTGCCATGCTCACGGAGCAAGGCTGAGCTGGGGCCAGACCCTGCTGGAGCTGGGCATGGGGAAACGGCTGGATGGGGCCCCCTTGGCTGGTGCTGGAGAGTTTTCGCGTTGTCACTCACGCTGTTCCTGGACAGGAGGTCAGGTTTGTTCAGGTGCTGTGACTCACCTGGTAAACTCAGACATACAGGGGCACCCTTAGCTGTAGGATTTAAAATTATGGTGGCTGGGTGCAGTGGTCCATACCTGTAATCCCAGTTAACCTGGAGGCTGAGGCAGGAAGACCAAAAGTTTGAGGCCAGCCTGAGCAACTAGTGAGACTGTCTCAAAATAAAAATAAATAAAAGAGCTGGGGAATGTAGCTCACTGGTAGAGTGCTATTGGTCTCTATAACCCCCCCCAAAAAACCCAAAATGCTTTAAAATTATGAATTCACTTTGTTGCTTACAAAATAATCATGTTAAGTATGTTTGGAAATACTCAGAACCACCCCTCCGCAAGTATTCCTGGGTCTAATCTCAGCGATCAGTAGGAATCCAGGATGACAGAAGCGACCGAGAGCCTTCAGGGTCTGTGGCTAGGACTGCAGCCTCCCCCAACGCCTCGTGCCTGGTCAGCTGCTGCACCTCGGCTCTTACCTGTTACATGTTGTCAAGGCAACACCAGGTTCCTGGCTGACAGTCAGAGCAGGGACACTGGGCTCCAGGGTCATGGTCACAGCAGACCTGCAGGATGTAGTTTGTCCTGCGCTCCCCAGGCTCTCTAACGTTTCTGTATGGAGGGAAGTCAGTGTGGGTTTTCAGAGATCGGGGCTGAAGGGTCTGGAAAGTGGGCAGCCCTTTCCGTGGAGAGAGACAGCCACTGCCTCCTCATGCGCAGCCCCCTTGTGCAAGCCTTGGCACCCTGGTGCTTGTCCCTTGTCTGCTAATCTCAGCGATCAGTAGGAGACCAAGATGTCCCATCTTTCCCATTCTCTGCCCATCTGGCCTGTTGGGCATTAGAAGATGTTAGAGCCTGAGGCTTCTTATCTAAGGTTGAGGCCTGGACTTGGGGATCCGTGGGGCACAGCTTGCCAATAGGCGGGTCCAGTTGGGTGAGTGGGAGAGGTGTCCACGTGGCCCCGAGTCCCAAATCCTAGGATTGTTCCCCAGCTGCTTTTCTAGGGAGGTGGCCCGTGACCTGTAGAGGGCAGATATTACTCCCTGGATATTTAGGTGGTTTCTGAATCAAACAGGCAGTTCTTGGGGACGAGGAGGAAGGGAAGAAAGAGGGCGCATGGAGAAGAGAGGGGCAGGTAGTTACACTGGCCACGATGCCGAGCCAGGCTCACTGTGGCACAGACCAGTTTTCTGGAAGAGCAGTGCCTTCCACACCTTCCTGCCGCCTGGTGCGTCTGCCCCCAGTCAGAGCCTGGCCCATCCTTTTGCTGAGCTGCAGGCAGACAAGGTCCTTAGTGGTTCTGGAAGGAGACTGTGTCCCCGCTCTGAGCTTTGGCCGTGTGGAAATGCCGCAAGTGGTCCGAAGCCTGGGCGAGCCTTATCCACACCCTCAGGGGCTCCCAGCACGTGTGACCAACCCTCTGACTGCAGCAGCTCTGTCCTACCCGCTCCACCCCTTTGTGTCCGTGGCAGTTAGGCACCTTCTCTCCTGCATGGCCCCCCACAGCCCGCTGTATTCTATGACAGGCACCAAAAGACCATGCTGCTTCTGCACCACCTTCTGCTGCTGATGACACTGTGTCACCTGGCGGTGTCCCTTCCCCAGGCACTCCTCTAACTAGCGTGGCGTCACTCCAGGTTTGTGCCTTTTCCCTTTGGCCTGCTGTCTTCCTATGTGCTCGCCCCCTTGTATTTCCCAGAGGTCTGCAGCCTGTGTGCAGTCTCCTCCCTCTTCGGGCAGCCTGGTCCCTCCTGCCCCATGTTCTCCTTGGGGTCCGGGCTGGGGAGGCCCTGATGAGGCTTCCCCGTGAGGGCCGGGAGATAGAAGGTCGTTGGAGGGAGCTCGGTTTCCCGACCCGCTCACCAGAGGTTGAATCACCACTTCCATGTCTCTCCAAACAGAACTGTGATGCGGACAGTGAGCCTAACGTCATGGATGAAACCAAGTGAGTGTCTCCTGCCAGGGCAGCAGTGCCCAGGTTGAGGGGTCAGGGCAGCCCGTTGCCCAGGAGCCCCTTGCCCGTCCAGCTGCCTGCACTCCTGACCCTGTGTCTCCGTCCCTAGGACTTTTTCATCCACCGAGAGCCTGCGGCAACTTTCCCAGCAGCTCAACGGTCTTTTGTCTGAGGTACCCACTGGGGTCCAGAACCCGGGAGGTGGGAAGGGTGGTGTCTTAGAAACCAAGGCAGGGGTGCATAAGAGAGCAGAAAGGTCCTCTGTTCCCTGAGTCTTGTGCCTTGGAGCTGTACAGGAGAAGGACTTGGGCTGCGCAGTTGGTAACATCGTTTATCCTGGTGCAGAGAGTGCAAGATGAGAGCTGCCTGGCGGGGTGGGTGACCAGGCTAAGAACCACGAGAGGCTGCCACAGGGGCTGTGGGAGGCGGGGCCCATACTAGGCAGAAAGATTTTGCCAGGACAAGGGGAGAGGAAGGTCGGGGGTTCAGACACGCCGGGGCAGAGGCTCTCCATGCGCGTGCTCCTCTCTTCCAGTCCACATCCTATGTCAACGGGGAGGGCCTCACGTCTGCTAACATGAAGGATCTGGAGGTGCGTGGCTCTGGACTGTGGCCCAGTAACCCTGCAGGCCAGTTCCCTTTCTCGGCCCACAGTGGGGCCTGGGCGCCCCCTGCCAGCTAAGACAGCCCACACACCCCCGACCCTAATGACGCTCTCTCTACCTCTCCCCCCAACCTCCTCCCCCTCCTCCTCTCTGCATGCGCCTCAGAGCCGGTACCAAGAGCTAGCAGTAGCCCTGGACTCCAGCTATCTAACAAACAAACAACTCAGTAGCAAGATAGAGGAATTGGTAAGAGTCTAGTGGGGTCCCCTGATTCCACACTGCCAACCGGGGCTCCAGTTTCCCCTTGGGGCTCTGAAGAAAGGGGCTGGGGGCCCCTGGTGCCAAAGGGAACGGGGTCGTGGGGGGCCCAGGTCCCAGCTGGACGGACCCCAGAGCACAGAGCATGCAGCTTGGCTCTCTCCTGCCACCCTCTCTGCTTCCTTTCTGTCCTGCAGACACCTCTGCTTGACTCCTTGCCCCACGTGTCCTGGGTTGTCGCCTCCAGTGGCAGCGCAAGCGCATGTCCTGCCCTGGCTCAGGCCCTGGCTCAGGCCCTGTCCTGCCCTGGCTCAGGCCCTAATTTGCTGTGATTTTGGATGAGCCACTTTTCTTCTGGGCTTGAGTTCACTGCAAAGGTGGCCCAGGTCTCTCATGCTCTAAGAAGCAAAGCTGTAAGGCTCCCTGTGATGGAGAGCGTCCGGGAGAAGGGTGGCGTCTGTGCTCATCCTCGCTCCCCTGCTGCTCAGCACGGTCCCCAGCCCGCCGGGCAGCTCAGCTGCTCAGTGAATGCGCCCGCTAGGCTGCAGGCTGGCGGAGGGTCTCCAGAGGCTCATGTTCCCATCTGTAAGGAGAGCCTTGATTCAGACCTTCAGTGGCACTGCCGGGAAGGAAAAGCCATTTCCCTTGCCTTGGGAGTTTGAGGAGGTGGTTGTTAACGTCCCTGTGGGGTCCGAGGATTTCTCCTCTCAAATCCATCCCTGGCCCCTGCCTGCCTCTTTCTGGTCTGGGGAGCGGTGTAAAGGGGGCCAACCCCAGTCACCTTCCTTTGACTCTCCCCACAGAAACAGCAGAACCAAGATACTGTGCAACAGCTGGAAAAAGTAATGTGATTTCTGTGTTTGCTCATTGCATGGCAGCTGGGATGGGGTGAAGATGCAGAGGGAGAAGCCTGGGCTTGTCCTCTTCCCTCCCAGCCTGGAGAACCCTCACCCCCAAACCCCTGCCCGGGTCCCCACAGGGTCCCTGATCCTCTGGTCTCATGGGTGACCCTATCCTGGGCCACTGGTGGCATTCTGGGGGCATGCACTTAGACGTTCCCTCTCTGCGGCCCCCTCCCCAGTAAGAGGTACTTCTTCCCTCTGCTGTAGGAGAAGCAGGAGTCTCAGCAGAAGCTGGCAAAGGAGCAGGTGGCTCTGCGGGAACAGCTGCAGGTGAGTGGTGACCCCACAGCCGCTAACCCCACAGCCTGGGACAGTGCTTCTTTGCTCTCACACGTGTTTGGCTTTTCTTCCGAAGGTTCACATTCAGACCATAGGCATCCTGGTTTCTGAAAAGGCAGAACTGCACACGGCCCTGGCCCACACTCAGCAGGCAGCCCGGCAGAAAGCAGGTGGGCATTCAGACGCCCCTTCCTCCTTTACGCAGCACGCTGCTGTGAGCTTTACAGGTGGAGGGGGTCCTTGGGGCTCATCTCGACCTCTCATCTCAGGAGAGTGTGAAGATCTTGCTGGACGTTTGAAGTCTTCCAGGCAGCGTGTGGGAGAGCTGGAGAAGACGCTGTCTGCCGTCTCCACGCAGCAGAAGCAGGCGGAAAAGGTGAACCTCTTGCCTTTCTGGCCACCGGCCGCCCAGCATCCCTGATGGGGTGGGGAGGCCTCCTCCTGCAGGGTGGAGGCCTCGCTGCTCAGTGCACCTTCTTGCTGCATAGTTGGTACAAACAGCCTGGAGCCGAGTTGGCTGCTGTGGGCAATTTTGGGTGCTGTATGGAGCGAGCCCTGGACATGGAGCCTGAACACTGGGTGCCTGCCACGCCCTTAACTGCCTGTGGCCGTGGCCAGTGGCTAGGAGGGTGGATATGAGGCCTGGGCTGTGAAGGCCAGAGGAGCTTACCATGGTGCCGTTTGTGCGTGTGTGATTACACGAACGGTGTCTAAGAGGATTCATTAGCTCAGGGAGAGGACCAGAGTGGCTGGGAGACATTTTACTTCTGAGAGAGTCAGACTGCAGGAATGTACAATCAAAAGGTGAATAAAAGGTGGGCCTGGAGAATTAGACCTGGGTGTCCAAATCGCAGCTCTGCCTAAGTGCATCTTACGTAGGCACCTGGCGTCTGTGTTTCACCTACCAAATGGAGATGACAGTAGCTGCCTCACAAGGGCATGGCAGCTCGTGCCTCTAGTCCCAGTTACTCAGGAGGCAGATGCGGGAAGATCTCTTAACCCAGGGGGTTGGGGCCAGCCTGGGCAACACAGCAAGATCCTATCAGAACACACAGAGGCCAGGTGTGCTGGCATGTGCTTACGATTCTAGCACTCTGCAAGGTTGTGCGAGGAGGATTGCAAAATTGAGCCCAGCCTGGGTAACTTAGTGACTTTTAGTGAGACTCTGTCACAAAGTAAATAGTAAGAAAAGGGCTGGGGCTGGGATGGTGGTGCACACCTATAATCTCAGCACTCAGGAGGCCGAGGTAGGAGGATCAACAGAGGTTCAAGGCCAGCCTGGGCTACAAAGGGAGTTCATGGCCAGCCTGAACTGCATAGTGAGACCCTGTCTCAAAAACCAAACAAAACAGAACAGAAAAAGGCTGGCGATGGAGCTTAGAGTGAAGGGCCTGGGTTCAACCCCAGGTACTGGAACACTCCCCCCGCCCCGCGCCCCTGCCGCCGCATGGAAATGCCTGGCAGAGATGTCACGTGTGATTGAGCGGGAAGCAGTGTCACTGGCATGCTTACTGTGGCTGTGCTTTGTGTGCCGCCCCCTCTTCGACCTGCCAACCCTGACCTGACTTTCTGTGTTGCAGTACAACAAGGAGCTAACGGAAGAGCGGGACACCCTCAGGCTGGAGTTATTCAAGAACAAGTAAGAGGGGAAGGAGGCTGGGCTGGCCAGGGCCTTGGCGCAGATGCGAGGGGTGGGGTGGGGTGCAGATGAGCATGGAGGGGTGCACGGCTTGGCATGTGTCCAGAGCTAGCTTTCGCCCCCGCTGAGCCCCTGACTCCTGGGCATCCCTGGGCAGCTCAGTCCCCTCTGTGGCCTGTCCCTTGTAACTCCTGATTGCTAGCATCCCTTGGTACCAGTGTGCAGGCTCATCAGAGCGCTCCTTTCTTTCCTTGGTTCATTCCTTCCTGTACTGCCCCTGCCTCTGGCACAGCAAAAGCAACGAGGACCTGAAGCAGCACAACTCTGAACTAGAAGAGAGGCTCCGAGTCCTCACGGCGGAGAATGCAGCCAGCCAGCTGGGGGTGGAGGAGCTACAGAAGAAGCTGGAGATGTCCGAGCTGCTGCTGCAGCAGGTACGAGGCTGCCGCGGGCAGTCTGAGCCCCTGCAGCTGCCATAGTCTCCGGGATCCAAAGATTTGCCATAGACTTCTCCAGAGATAGCTAGAAACCCATAAATTGGGGACCTGCCCAGACCTGTAGAATTGGGGTGGAGGAGTCAGGTATGGTGGCGCATGCCTATAATCCCCACACTCGGGAGGCTGAGGAAGGGGATTGCTCTGAGTTCGAGACCAGCCTATGCTACATAGTGAGACTCTGTCTCAAAAATAAAACAGCGTCAGTGGTATTTTTGTTTTGTTTTGAAAGCACAGTGGTACTGGGAATTGTACCCAGGGCCTCTACATTGAGCTACATCTTCAGGACTTCCTTATATTTCATTTTGAGACAGAGTCTCGCTAAGTCACTAGCTTACCTAGACTGGGCTGGAACTTGCTGTCCTGCATCGCCCTCCAGTGGGCCCAGGAGTCTATTTCCCTCCTCTTGTGGGCAGGGTCAGCTCTCCACTGCCAGTGGTGATGAGCCTGGGGTGTGCACCATCCTAGGGCACTCTTGTAGGGGCCGCAGGTAGAGCAGCCTGGGCTCCCAGATCTAAACTTTGCATTTTTCTCTGTCTAGTTCTCAAGTGGGTCTGCATCCCCTGACGCTGACCAGCAGTTCCAGCAGGCCCTGGAGGATCGGGCACGGCTGGAGACACACGTGGGGCAGGTGAGGTTTTGCAGAGGAAGGTACATGGGAGGCAGATGGGCCCACGTGGCCGGGAGCAGGTAAGGACGGGCGACAACCCTTCCTAACTTGTGTGTCACTCTTGCAGCTGACGGAGTCACTGAGACAACTGCAGCTGGAGAGAGACCAGTACACGGAGAACCTGAAGGAAGAGCGCGCCATGTGGCAGCAGAGGATGCGGCAGATGTCAGAGCAGGTGAAGCGCAGTGGCCCTCGGTGGCTCACACTGCACGTCCCTGCCGAGCGTCTGCTCAGCGAGGATGGGATTGCTTGCTGTGTGGTTCTGTGTGTGAGACAGGGTCTCACTCTGAAATTCAGGCTGGCTTTGAACTCACTGTGCAGCCCAGGCTGGCCTCAAACTCACATCGATCCTCCTCCCTTGGCCCCCTGAGTGCTGGGGTTACAGGCGTGTGCCGCCACCCCGGCCCTATGTACGGGTTTTGTGGAGGTGGGGCCGGGAGGGAGGTGAGCCGGTGGTTACCAGCCCCTCTCTCCCTCTGCTTTCCCTGTGCCTCGGGCAGGTGCACACACTGAAGGAGGAGAAGGAGCGCAGCGTGAGTCACATACAGGAGCTGGAGAGCAGCGTGGCCGAACTGAGGAGCCAGCTGGGTGAGCAGGGACAGGAGTGACCTGGGAGCAGGGCGAGGCCCTGGGCTGTGGGGTGGCTTACATTTCCCCAAGGAGCGGGGTGGATTCAAGGGCACGATGGCAAAGGGAACAGGGGTCTGTGCCAGGGGATGCAAGTCTTGGCATCTCTTGGAGCCTCAGTGTCTCCATCCGCGGAGGAGGGGATGTGCCCGCTGCCAGGCGTGCTGGGAAGTGGCTTCAGAGCGGCCATCATCTGGGTATAAGTCGTTAGGAGGCCTGAGAAGAGTGTTCCAGGAAGCCAGAGGGTCCCCAGAACCCTGACTGCCCGTTTCCTTTCCCAGCGGAGCCCCCGGCCCCAGAGCCCCCAGCTGGGCCCTCGGAGGAGGAGCAGCGGCTGCAAGCGGAGGCTGAGCGGCTGCAGAAGGAGGTAGAGCACCTGACAGGACAGCTCCAAGCCCAGGTGCAGGACAACGAGAGCCTGAGCCGCCTGAATCGGGAGCAGGAGGAGCGGCTGCTGCAGCTGGAGCGAGAGGCGGAGGTGTGGGGCGAGCAGGCGGAGGAGCGCAGGCAGATCCTGGAGAGCATGCAGAGTGACCGCACCACCATCAGCCGCGCCGTCTCGCAGAACCGGGAGCTGAAGGAGCAGCTGGCTGAGCTGCAGGACGGCTTCGTCAGGCTGGTGCGCCAAGTCCTTCGGGGCCCGAGCAACACCCCCTGGGCCTCTGCCTCCCTCTATAGAAATTTCAGGTCACGTAGGTAGATGTCCCGTGAGCTAGAACCCTGCTTGGGCATCCGTCGGGGAGAGGATGATTCTCCGTCCTTCCCTGTGCCGTGGCCACCCAGGTCAGGGGCCGGGGCTGCCTGTGCCGGTGGCACTGGTCGCTCCTTTTCCCGTAGACCAACGAGAACATGGAGATGGCCAGTGCGCTGCAGTCGGAGCAGCACGTCAAGAAGGAGCTGGCCAAGAAGCTGGGGCAGCTGCAGGAGAAGCTGGCGGAGCTCACGGAGATGGTAACTCCCGCGCCACGGGACGGCTCTGACGGGTGGCAGCCAGGGCAGATTGGGCAGCCTGGGGACGGGTGATCCCTGCATCCTGCAGAGCCAGCCTGCGACTGTTTCTTGCTCTCCGCCTCTGACTGCCAGAGGTGGGCAGGCGTGGGCTCCTCCAGGTCCTCATGTCCTCTTCCCTGTTGGAGGCCTGGGGCCCCCTCATCTCAGGGAGCCCTTTGGGCTCAAGCTGGATTCTAACCTCAGCTCTGCCTGTCAGTTTCAATGCTTCGTATTGCTGAACCTGTTTCTTGACTTTGAAGGAGATTGGCCTTTTCCTCCTAGAGACTGTAAGGACTGAGTGAGATAAAGCATGTGGAGCAAGGATGCTAGCAGAGTGCTTGGCGGATGTGGGATAGCTCCCTCTGATGCTTCACATCTGGGGTCTAAAGTCCAAGTGGTGCAGCTGGGTTTGGTGCCACATGCCTGTAATCCCAGTGCTTGAGAGGCTGAGGCAGGAGGAATGTCAAGAGTTCAAGGCCTTCACGATGTAGGCCATCCCAGACTATATCATGAGACCCTGTCTCAAAA